TCCCTGGGCCCGAGTGGGCGGAGCAGTCACCCTCTGCTCCTCTCCCACTCCTCTCGGAGGGCCCCTCCTGCCTGCCTCTTCTGATCTCCCCAGCCTCCCTCCTACGTCCCCAGGACCAATGTGGCCGGGGATGGGGGGATGGGGGTTGGGCCTTGGAGGGCAGGGGACTGGACTGGGAGCTCAGCAGGCCCCCCCAGGCCCAGTGGGCCGGATGATTGCCCTCCGCTTCTCCCGGACTGGCCCTCCCGCCTGCCTCTTCTGATCTCCCTGGCCTCAGGGGCGCTGATCCTGTTTGACCACTACTTCTCCTCCCTACTCTGTTCCCCAAAGTCCTACCAGTTCACTTGGGGATTCCTCCAGTCTCCTTGGGTGTCAGGGTTTTCCACCAGCAGCCGACAGGCGCCCTAGTTGTGGGGAGACTCTAACTCGGTGTCTTCCCACACTGCCATCTTGACTCTGCCCTTCTAATAGGAGTTTTGTCTTAACTAGTAACCAGAAGCTCTATACCTATTATCTAAGCCACCCTATTACTGGGTATTTTCCCAAACTTATCCTGCTCCACCTAAAAAAAGTAAATTAAAATCCATCTTTATAATGATCAGAGTATTCAAATGAACAGCTACAATTTAAATGATGACACTCAAATATTTTCAAACTTGACATCTCACCTGGGTTCCATTCTCTTATTTCCAACTACTTGGAAGCAGGTAAGATATCATTTACCTGTGCTTACCAACGCCACTTCAGATTCAGCGACTTCACAACTGAAATCACTTCACCCTTAACCTTCCTACTCATTCTCTCTACTCCCACCAGTCCAACACCAAATCCTGTTTCCTACTCTTGTGTTCCCTACTTTGGATATGTTATCACTATCTACCCAGTAGTCGAGGTAAAAATCTCAGTTATTCTTTATTCACTAACCGTGTGTACTTAATCTGTCACTACATCTTATCCATATTACCTGCACAGTGTTTTCCCTTTTGTCTGTTCCCTATCTTAACTACCACTGTCCACCCTCATAATCACTGATATGGACAATTGCCATAACCTCTTCATTGAAGTCCCAGCTTCCATTCCCTCCTCCTTCCAAACCTCTCCACATAAATGTTTTTTAAATGGGGATGTACATTAAAAAGAATCCTCTTGCCCCTAGAGATTCAGATTCACTAAATTGAGGGTAGCGCTTGGATATCTCATTATATAAAAAACTTCCCAGATGATTCCAGTGCACACCTGGATTAAAACCAATATTTTACAAGCTTCTGGGGTTATCATTTCAAAAGCCTGCTATAGTCACATCATCCTTTGGCTTAAAAAGTTCTAATGCTTCCCCCACTGCCTACAGTATAAAGTCCAAACTTCGCTTGTGATAGAACAGGTGTCATTCACATCCGGGCCCTCATCTCCCTTTCCGGATGCATTTTCAACTACTCCCCTCCCAAGGCCTTTGAGTCTAGCCAAATAAGTGACACCCAAATATGCCATGTACTTTTGGATTTTTGTGCCTTTTTCCATACCATTTCTTCTAAGTTGCCCTTAACTTTTTTCTATATCTGGAAAACTCTCTCCTCAATGTCACTTACACCTGACTATACCCCTTTTTCTTCCAGGCAGGAGTAACAGCTCTGCATCTGTGACTCCACAACACTTTGTGTATACTTGTGTTGCTACTCTCATTACTTTGGATTGTGATGATTTGTTTACATACATATAGTCAGATTACTAAGATAGAGATAGTCCTACTTATCTTGTATGAGTAGGCACCCAGGAGGCATGCCTCTTTCCTTCTGATTAAGAATTAACAAATTCTCTTGGGAATTCCCTGGCGGTCCAGTGGTTAGGAATTCTCTTGGGAACTCCCTGGCGGTCCAGCGCTTTTCACTGTCAATGGCTCAGGTTCAATCCCTGGTCAGGGAGCTAAGATCCCACAAGCCTCACGGCACCGCCAAAAATACGAAAGAAAAAAAAAATTAGCAAATTCTAAAAAATATATTAAAAAAAAGAACAAATTCTGTCTTCTTTTTATACCCACCTTTTCTAACTAGCAAATTACCTTCTATCTAGATCATTCATCTGTTTCTATCTCCTCATCCAAAAAATGGGCCTGTCTTATTAACAAAAGGAACCTCTCAAATCTCTGTACCAAGTGATGGTTGGTGATCACTTGGGTATCATGGGACTCATTAGTGTCTAAAAATACCTTGCTGAGATCTTCACCAATGGAAGATATAGAACATCTGGTAACATGTTCAAGGTATTCAGCAGGTTTTGAATGTTAAAGATCAACAAAACTGATGTGGTGAGTTGTGTCAATTCTCCTGCTTCGTAAGTTTCTGTAACTGGTACCATTAATGTCTGCTTCACACCTAGAAGCATTCTTTTTTTTTCTTAAGCCAGAAGTCATTTTTGGTGTATTACATCTCCTAAGACCACATCTAAGCTATTGGCTTTCACAGTGAATTGTGGGCCTAGTGGTAGAATCTGCAGGAAAGACCCGCTTTGAGTTTTCAGATGCCTCTTTCATCTTGGACTATAAACACATACCTATTTCCCTAACAGAACATTAGGAGTTCAGAAATGGTATGAAATTTGGGTGCAGTTATGATTAGTTTACAACTTACAATGTAATCATTACTGTCTGGTTTTGAGTGTTAGAGAAGAGGCTTTGATATGTGTGCTGTAAGATGATAATTGATCATGATGTCTACCAAGAGATAGAGATAATTATTAAAGACTTCTGTGGCATCAGACCAAACAAAATGCTACAAATCATGGGATTTTATCACATGGATCCACGCTTAGGGAATTAAAAAACTTTTTTTTCCGATTGTCATTTTTCCTCGGAGAAAGTCAGAAAGGAAATTGAATGCAGTAGTATCTTCAATATTGAAATATACTGGGTAACTACATAAGTTCTGAAATCAACATGAATATGTCCTTATCTTGTTTTGGAAATGGGTTGCTAATAATAGTATATTAAAGAAGCAAAGGCCATTGTGTTTGCAGGACCGGAATGTTTCTGGTGCCTTCTGTATGAAAAGTTATGATGCTGCATTTGTTTCTTTCATAGGCATTGTCTCCTTGTTCCCTTTGGACAATGGATTTAAAAGAATCAGAGGCAAAAATATAAATTTAGGGCTAAAATGAAGCTAGTTTCTGTGTTCACTTCTGTTATTAATCAACCTAAAACGGTTGATTAATTGATTATATCTCAGCACAGCACTATCTTTAGGCTTGAAAGTTTGGAGGCAAAATTGGATAGCTGCCTGGAAAGTAGGTAATGAGATAAATAACATGGAATTTAATTCTAGCCTAGAAAGGCATATTTCAATTCTGAAAGTCTTAACTTTGTCACACAAAGGGAGGAATGTGTGACAATAAGCATACTGCTGTGGCTTAAAAATCAAGAGACCTAAATCGATTCCCTGCAAATTACTTCTCATCTTTGGTCCTCTCCATTAAATGAGAAATCATTAAAAATATTTCCCTACCCAGAAGTGAAGTTGGTTTTTTTAAAAAGGAGGGTAGAGATAGATAGATGTAGAGGTCGATCCATCCATCCATCCCTCTTAAACTTTAAGTACATTGGATCTACCTGAAAATTTTCCCTTGAGCCTGTGTTTGAATGGACTATGAAACCTGCAAAAACAATAAAGGTTCTGGCCCCTTAATGTTCACCAGAACTTGCTGAGTATAACCTCTAAAAAACAATTTCATAGTTAACTCAGCTCTTAGAGATAAGGAGGAACCAGGAGGTAGTTCCCAAACACTTAAATATGAGAAAAGGACTTTTCTGTTTCACTTTTCTGCTCTTGATGGACAGATTTCTCTGAAAACTACTTCTTTCAGTTTAGGAGAGGAAGTGAGAGATTTCCCAGGAGGAATATTTAGCAATAGTCATGTGGTTCCAAGCGCAAGACAGAAGCCCTTTGTAACTGAACCTGGTGGGGAAGGAGAGGGGCTGAAGAATGGCTGAAAGGCAGAATCACAGTTTCTTTTTGATAATTTTGGAGTTGTTCATTCAAGACTCTCACAAGAGGATGAAAGAGACCTTGAGTCCAGAAAACCAGCCGCTAAAGACAAGTTATCAAAAATGCTTACTTCAAATTTAAATTTGGATTAGTTTATGAAAGAAAACCTTCTAATCAGAGTACAGGTATGAACTCATTGTTAAGATTCTAGTAAAGGATTAATAAAAGAACTTAGTATTTAACAATTTAATTGTTTCGGTAAAAAGTATACAAACTAACTCTGAGGGAAGACAGTGAGCTCTAACCAAATCTCAGGAAAAACATGCATGTTGCTGTTGTGACCTTTGTGACACACCACAGGTGCCACACACCTAGCGATCCTGTAAACAACTGAAATGCAGAATGCAGATTCTTGTGTGCTAAAACTGTAAAACAAGAGCCACTGGAGTTATATCCCTGTAGCCGTGTGGGTACAGTTCGTTGCTCCTGTCCGGGTAGCACATGGCTCTGGGGTCCTTTGGCTTTGTGCGAGAGGACCTTCTTTTTTTTTTTTTTAAATTAATTAATTAATTTATTTATTTTGGGCTGTGTTGGGTCTTCATTTCTGTGCGAGGGTTTTCTCTAGTTGTGGCAAGCGGGAGCCACTCTTCATCGCGGTGCGCGGGCCTCTCACTATTGGGGCCTCTCTTGTTGCGGAGCACAGGCTCCAGACGCGCAGGCTCAGTAGTTGTGGCTCACGGGCCCACTTGCTCCGTGGCATGTGGGATCTTCCCAGACCAGGGCTCGAACCCATGTCCCCTGCATTAGCAGGCAGATTCTCAACCACTGCGCCACCAGGGAAGCCCGAGAGGACCTTCTTGTTGAGTTTACTTAGGCTGAAAGTATCAATTTCTACCCCCACTCCCTATGGGTCCCACTGTGCTTATCAGGAACGATAGTTGGTCCTTTGCCCTCATCACTTTTTCATTTGTTTCCCCTAGTCTCACTGGTAATTATTAATATAATGTCAATGTCTTTTCTTTTCAGTCCTCCTCGCCCTCTGACGAATGTGAATGACACCATGGTGAGCCACATGTCCTCTGGGGCGCCCACTCCCACCAAGAGGTACGTGATGCTTGTGCGGCAGTTACCACTCACCGTTGGGTACTGGCCTCTGGCCTGGGAAGCAGAGCATTCCACAGGGCAGAAAGGACTGGCTTTCCTCCCCTCCTTGGACTGTCTTTTTATATTATTTTCGACTTTTTATCTTCCTTTTTTTCCCTACTAACTTATAAATATAGCAACTGAAGGAGGCTGCTTTGGAGTGGTGCCTGAGGTGGAAGCTCTCCATTTGTGACAAGCAGTGAACATAGTGTCAAAGCAGATTAGGCATGTTTGAGCTCTTTTTTTTTAACATCAAACAATATTTTGATGAGCACGAATTTCAACAGTTTTGCATTAGAGTTCTTGAAGCATCAAAGATCATTTCTGCTTCCTGATTTGACTCTGTAAATTGAGCTAATTCCTTATATTCTAAATCATTCTACATAGAATTCATAAACATTTAAGCTGAAAAGCCTGAGTCCCTCTCTTAGTTATACAGGGAGTTTCCTTAGGGTCCTTCAAGGAACTAGAACAGTCTCCTCCTTTCTCCTCTTTATTTAGTTTACTCTTCTCCAGAATTCTCTTAGGCAGGACTTAAAAGATCTGTATGAAATGGTTTACTTTCTGTCTGATTTAAGCTGTTCCGTCACCAGAGCAATGCAGAAAGTCCCTCAAGGCACAACCAGTAAAGAATTCTTTCTAACAGTCATCACTCAAAAAAAACAAAAAAGCAAAACAAAAAAGAATGAAGACATTCCAACCCACTCCCCAAGTCCTTCCTGAAGAAAGCACTCTGTACTGCAAACCTGAAGAAAACCATACGTACCGATTGCTTTGGATCAAGTTAGCTATAGAAATGTTATTTACTTAATAATACTTTGACGTAATATATATAATATATAATACTTAAGATCAACTATGTTTGTTCCATTGGGTAAAACTCCTAGGGCAATATTGCCCGAACTTGAGTGATGAGAAGAATCACCCGGGTCACTTGCTAAACATACACATTTCTGAGATCACATCAGACCCAGTGGATCCTGAGATCCTGCGAAGCTACACTTTTAACAAGTATTCCAGGTGATTCTTATCATCAGGCAGATTTGGGAAATAGCCTTAGAAGCGAAGGAGTAAACTACAAGAATCCTCCATCCTGGAATAGAGGATTTAGGGACTTAACAAATGAGAGTGACTTGATAATACAGTGTTATCCACGTGGAGACTCAAGACCCTGACCAGGTGAGAGTACTTGTCCGCAGCCTTGTTGGGACACTACTAGCAGGACAGTAGCCGAGCCGCCTCTTTTGGGCAGAATTGAGTGGTACGAGCACCGTCTGTACTGAGCACAGACTTCTGAGCCAGACTGCATTTGAATCCTGGCTATCACCTGACCTTGAACAAGATTCTTATCTTTGTTGGTTTATCTGTAGAATGAGGAGAATAATAGTATCTGTGTTGTGGGGTTTATGTGAGAATGTAACATACTGTTGTCATTATTTAGGAAGTAAACTGTAATGAGAGAACAGGTGGGGAAGAGAGAATAATTTATGGCTAATGCCCTCTCAAGGAAGAACAGAGGCTTATGAAAGAGTACAAAGCAATTAAACCTCTTCCACCTGCCTAGATTTTACAACCACCCTTGCTGGCCTTAACTTTTTATGTTAAACACCCATAGCATTCAGACACAGACCTAGAATCTAAATGTCAACTCAGGAATGTTTCTGTTTCAAAACTAGGAAGACAAGGTAGGTTATTGAAAGAAGTCAGCTTGTAGGTTTTATGTTAGTTTTAGCAATGCCATGTATTAGGGTTTCACTTCACCTGAGTTCTCTTCATTTACTACTTTTGTCACTTTGAGTCACCTGAGTCCCTGAGGGCCCTAAGTGCATGGTGATCAAGGGCAGCATGCATTCAGTGACCACAGCTGAATGTAGCTCCTAGAGGCTGTTGGAGGGAGTGCATATTTCTGGGTGATGTTTTACTGCTTCAGAAGACTGAAAGAAGGGACTTGGGAGCCGTAGTCATCACAGCTCCTCTCTAGAAGGACTACTAACCTTTAGGCTTGATGTTGCTGTATGAAACCCCAGATCAGTAGTCAGTGGCCAGCTGTAATTGTCAGTCACAAAATATCTACCATTTCTGAAAGTTGTTTCAGATAATGTAGTATAGCCTGGGTTAAGATTTTATTTTAAAGTCAGCATTTCAGCTAGCATCTCTTTCTAGGTAGGCTCAGTCAATGCTAGAGGTGGTTGTCACAGACTCTCCACGGGCTGACCAGCGGACCAAGCGTAGCCAAAGCCCTTAGGAGACCGAAACAAAGGCGGAGCTCTGTAACTTACCAAGAAGAGAAGTTGCTGGAGGAGAGGCTACATGGGAACGTGATGCCCCTGTCCTAACAATATTGTCCTTAGAATTTTTGGAGATTTCATTTACTTTCAGGATGAGATTATGATAGAACATATGGACATGAATTGCATAATTCATAGACTTGGCTCTTCATGGCCCCAGGTTCTAAATGGTATAAATTTCAGGTAGTATCCTATTTACTTCCTCAAGGACTCATCAATTTTTATTCTCTCCTCTGAATGTCGTCAGACCTTTGTCTCCAGAGTCTGATGAAAGCCAGGAACCCAGCACGTCATCCCAGTCATAGATCCTTCCTCTGCTGGGGCAGAGAATTCTCAAGGGGCACAAAGCTACTCTCCAGAAGTAAGAGGTTTTCTTTAGAACTCAGCATAAGACATAAATCACTGAATCAGACAAGAACATGCACAGTAATAAAAATGCAGGAAAAAGTTAAGAGCTCCAGGTTCTAACTTTTCAATAAGCTGTCCATTTAAAACTAGTGATAACCCGGGACTTCCCTGGTGGCACAGTGGATAAGACTCCATGCTCCCAATGCAGGGGGCCCAGGTTCAATCCCTGGTCAGGGAACTAGATCCCACATGCATGCCACAACTAAGAGTTCACATGCTATAACTAAGGAGCCCATGTGTCACAACTAAGGAACCAGTGAGCTGCAACAAAGGAGCCCACCTGCCACAACTAAGAGCTGGCAAGCCGCAGCTAAGGAGCCCTGGAGCCGCAACTAAGGGAGCCCACCTGACGCAACTAAGGAGCCGGCAAGCTGCAACTAAGGAACCCTGGAGCTGCAACTAAGGAAGCCCACCTGCTGCAACTAAGGAGCCCACGTGCCGCAGCTAAGGAGCCAGCAAGCTGCAACTAAGGAGCCCACCTGCTGCAACTAAGACCTGGTGCAATCAAATAAATAAATAAATATTTTTTAAAAAAATAGTGATAACCCCATTGGTGAAAAACAATACTTGATTAGTCCAAATAAAAGATGATCTCAAATGTAATGGTTACTTTGTACAGAAGAAAACCTTATAAATGGCAAAGATGCTGGCAATCATGTGAGAAACTGTAAATTATGTTCCTGAAAGGTTCCACTCTAGGGATTTGCCCCCTGTAATATTTTTATTGACATTTCTACAGTAGAAAAGAAATTTTGTCTTTGTCTTAGACTGAGTAGTTTCTGGAAATTTGCTTTCTGTTAAAGAATCAGAACAGTACACATAAAAACAAACAAACTTTCAACACTTTAAAACAGAGACTTAAAATGCCCCTCCACTATCCGACTTCCTCCAAGGCTTGCTTCTGTCCCTCTTCTTCCCCAGGGTTCAGAGTGTGATTATGTTATTATTCTCTGTACTATTGTACTATTTAAGTCGTACCTTATATTCAGACCAATATGAAAAATGATGCTTATGTTTTTAATGTCTTCTAAAGCCTTGGCTTTAATTATTTATACAGATATAAATGTTTACAATTCTGTGGGCATTTCATATAAGGTTGGCAGCAACAAAAACCTCCAGTATGAAACTTGTGGCTTGGTGCATTTGATTGGTATAGTAGTTTTAACTCTTTTAACTTCAGGTATTAAAATCTAACTTTCAGAAGTACAAACCCAGTTAAGCACGATGAAAAAGTTCCAAAGATCTGGTGTACAACCTTGTGCTTATACTTAAAAATACTCTAACATACACTTAAAAATTTGTTAAGAGAGTAGATTGTGTGTGTTCTTACCACAATAAAAAGAAAAGAAAAGAAAAGAAAAGGCACAAACCCACAAGACAAAGGCAAAAGCAGAAGGGAAGGGCAGAAGTGTCCATAGATCACAAAGCAACTGAACTGCCACCAGGATGTCCACCTGTGGCTTCTCCATCTCTCAGCTTCTCTCAGTGTGCTGTCTTCATTCCCTTCTCCTACAGAACAGCCACCTCTCAAGATGCCAATGGCTTCACTCACATCTACAGCCTTGTCTCTCAAGAGGTTGTGCTTTTCCTCCCTAGGATTAGAAAACTCCAAGAAAGGATTCTTATTGTCCTGGATGGCATTACTGCCCATCCTTGTGTATGTGTGATAAGCCACACTCATTAGACCTGTATCATCAGAATAGAGGGAGGAGCATCTCCCCAAAAGAAGGTTCTACCGTCAAGAACAGGAGAGATCCTGGGAAAGAAAAATAACAGAATTTGTTGGCAGAGCACTGCTTTGCTACCAGGCACACAGATGTGTGCACAGGCGTGTACATGCACACACACATACCCCTTCCCATGCACGTTTCCACTTCCAGAGCTTTCCTCCTCAGACAATGCAGCAGTACGACTGCAAATGTATACTTGCCTTTCCCAGGAGTCTTGTCCACCTCCTGCAGACAGCACTGGGTCCCGGATATCTAGGTCATGTCCATTTGTCAGGATCAGGTCTAGGTACATCTTTTGTGATTCATTAACCCGTTCTACCATGGACCAAATTATAAGTTTTAAGAACTCACACATCTCTACAACTCACAGCTCTACAAAAGTAGAAATCTGAAAATAGGATAATTGCATTTTAGAGAAGGGAGGAAAAGGAAGTAACAGAAAACACGACATATTAAGCCACATTTGCCTGTTTCCTCCTAAAACACCATGAAAATGACAGTCGAGACATTTTCTTTAGTAGAAACCAACAACAGA